CATAGCGGCAGCCCGCCTCTACCAGCGAGGCCTAGTCAGAGGCTGCTTGCTCTCTGGAGTTGCTTTGTGTCACACTGTTGCTCGTATTTGATAAAGGCGAAGTGGAAAGTGGCCTCACTTTGAGATGGGACGGCTTTGTTTTAAAGAGGGAAAGCTAACAGCGTAAACAGTGTCGAGATTGCTGGTTTTATAAAAGTTACCCAATGCAGATTTATCGTAGAGCAGCGTCATAACCGAGGGCACCAAAATGGCTACTGCCGGCTTTGTCTTTATGTATCTTCTTTGTTTTCTGCGAGCTACAAAGACAGAATGCCCCACAGCTAAACAAAGAACTAAATTGTGTTTCTGTGACAAAATCAGAGGAACGTCTAACTTAACTTAGTTTTTGTTTCTTCTCTGACCCCACGCATGCCGGATTTCCTGGTCAGTGGCGTCCTCATGGGACTCATCCCTGTCTCCTCCATTAGCATGGTGTTAAAAGCAATCTGTCTCTGGTGTAACATTCTCGCTTGCTGACCGCCCAGCAGCCTGTTAAAATGCTTGTTGTCAGAACTATTAAACCCACAGAGGTGGTCACGGTGGAGGCAGTCGAGCAAAATATAAACTGGCTAACTCTCTAACACGCCACCACCTTCACCTAACAAACCCCCACCCCTTCACCAGACCCTTTGCCTCCCCTGAGAACTGCTGATGGAAGCAGAAGAGCGTTTCCCCAAAATATGCTTGGCTTTCCCGCATTTCAACAAGGACAAGCCATTTTTCAGAATTTCAGCAAACATGTCACCCACTCTGAATTTTAAATAGCAACAATTTTTTCTTTTTTGGGTCATACAAAATGGAAAAGTCTAGGCTGCTAATGCTCAAGATTTTTCTCAATGTCAACAACTCCCCAGTCCCGTGAAGAGACTAAAGTGTTTTCTCTGTACTTTCTTACTCGCGTAATATTATGTTGGCAGCCTTTCGCTGCCAAACATCTAAATCATTTAGAGTTCCTCTGGCATGTAGTTCCGCTCCCCAAGTCCTGCTTGATCCCGTTCAACCAAGAATGAAAGCGAAACATGTTTCCGCCGCTGCGGAAAGTTTCCGTCTTTCCGCAGAGGCCTCCCACCACTCGATACTTAGCAGCATGACCCTGACTCTTTCATAAAACTTTGATGCAGCTCGGATTGGCCTACCTGATCGATACCTCATCATTTCTTTGCAAGGTCGAGCTGAAGTTGGTGGGGAACAAAAATATACAGCTCAACAAAACATGCTCTGTTTAGTTGTTTCTGCTTTTAAATATTTATTCTCAGCCTGACTGCAGCGTGCAGACATGTAGATGGAATGAAGATGCAGTGTTTGTTTTATTTCTGGTTGCATCATGTCTGTTTGCAGAATATCTGAGCTTCTAAAGGCATGTCAGATGCACAATCATCTCCCTGGTCTTTGATTTGTCTGATTGGTTTGTGCAAATCCAAGTGAAATACACATACATCTCTTTCTCTGGTTCTGATATGAATGTCCTGCTAAGCCACATTTCAAAAGCAAACTTGGAACGTGTCGCTCTACTAACTAACCCTGAAGGCTTTTTTTTTATCAATTAGTAAATTACATTGAACTTGTTTGTTCTGGCAGCTGAATGTTCGGCTACAGCTGAATTTTTCTACATGAAGGAAAGTTAGTGCAGATCCAAATGGAGGATTTCAGCAGCAGACGAGAGTGTTGCACCGGCTGCCCGCTGCTGAACTAGCTGCAGGGTGTTGACGCAATCGCTTTTTGATCTGTCCCATCATCCATTCTGCACACAGACCTGCCCAGAGACCCCATCTTGCTGATCTAGTGATCACTGCGGTCAACCCAACTCTGGCCGGCCCAATGACCTGCGAGCAGACTGCAGCCCGGTCACAACGGGTTGAGGTGATTGAGCTGTGAATGAAAAAAAAAAAAAAAGACCCACTTACACTTACATTTTTCTGCACATTATTTATCTATTTAAAAATACTGACTGAATTAAAGTGGAGTATGGTTTAATAAAACAGGTGTAGAAACAGTGAATTTTGTAATTTTCTTGTCTCAATGGAATTTATAGCAGCTTTCATATGAAATTGTTTGATTAAATGTTTCTCTTGAAATTAAACATGCATGTGTGGGAGTGCTCTGTTATGCAAGTTTTATGTAAGACGAGATAAATACAATATGCACTCAGTGATATTTAATGGATGGGGAGGATTTTCCTTCTTCCTTTCCTTCTTTCTTTACTTTTTTCTTTCTTGACGTCTGAAATAATTAAAAAAAATCTAAATGCCAATCAGTTTGTTTCCAACAACTTCAAGTATGATTTCCTACATTTAAATCAATAAAGCAACAATTTCTTCTTCATTAGAGGAAAACTTACAGTCAGAACAAAATTTAATTAAAAATCTGTGAGCCCACACGCTGTCGACAGGAGACGACCTCTCAATCTGACATATTGTGAGAACTTTTTTTGCATGACTGCATGGGCAAGTAATACCAAGCCCAAATGTGGGACCGTAATAGACTCCTATCAGGGAGACGTAGTCAAAAAGTGCTTACAGAACACATTAGCATGTGTGCTTACAGAACACAAATCAATATCACTGCATCAAACAAAGTAAAATAAAAAAAATAAATGAATAAAAAACTGTGCGAAAAAAAAAGAAGATAACAGTTTTATTGAAATAAAATTGTGCTGTTTTTTAAATATGTCTTCCTTGAAATGTCTACAGTTGACAACAAAATCATCCAAACTTTGATTTTGAATCTTGGTTGTGCGTCTTAGAACTGATTCTTCCCAAAATTAATTAGCTGAATGCAACTAATTGGTTAAAGGAATGTCCATCTGGCTGAATGAGCACAGCCAAACTCATTCAAGAAAGATGTGTGACTGGAACGAGGTCTTAATGTTCTGCCAGCTCTTACTGTTAAAAAAAAATATATATATATATATATATATATAATTTTTTATCATTTTACTTCAGCTTGTTTCATTAAATGCAACAAAATGTCAAAGATTTCTAAAAACAAACAACAATAAAAATCAACAGTTTGTGTATCCACATGAGCAAAAAACCAAACAAGTAACCAGGTTTCAAAAAGACTGAGAGGAAACTCAGGATAGAAAATCCTCAACATAGATCACAGTAAAATTGGCTCAGAATAGCACATCTATCTTAGAGGACAGTTTTACAAGTCTCTCTGCTGTTATGTGTGCGTGTGCGTGTGGCATGTTAAAGGTTACAGTGACAGGTGTAATATTTCCGAATAGGAGATGTCTTGTGAAGTATCTCCAGAAAGTGGGGTCTTGGCCTTTAACGATAGGTTAACCAGATCACTGACAACATCATCAACTCACACAAAAAAGCTGGACCTCATCACAAACCTTCACATTCACTGACATTTTGGTCCCAACTACTGTTATTAATACGTCCCTAATCCTCACCTCTCACCCTCCTCCAATCTGTGTGTTCTCCAGGACACACAAATTGAATGATCAAACTGCAAAGAATATTATTACATCTCTGTTGGTCTTCCTGGGCGAGTGAATTGGATGGAGCAGAAACCAAACATGGAGCCTGAAAAGGAGGGCGAAGATATTAATATTGAAAAACTTAAAACCCAGTTTTGAATCTCTGGTGGGAAAACATCTTTTACTGTATATTCCAAACACTTTTTTGGTATTATTCTGGGGATTCCCAAAGGAGTAACTCTTAAGCTAGCATGTAACAATTGGGATTAAAGATGCCAAATATTAGTTTCCACATCAATATATAGAAATGTATTGTAAACTGTGTAAAGTGCATTTTGCAAAAGCCTTACCTGATTTAAAAAGGAGGGCATTATTCCAATATCTGATCTATATATACATTTGTTTAGCCGTGTGCTTTTTTGTAGCCGTTATCAAGCTTCTGATGCTGGTTGAATTTTTAGGAAAACTGGAAAATGTTTATTCAAATTGCCTGGGTTCCTGACATAGAAACGACTGTGAAACATAACCCAGAAAGCAGAAACAGTGTCTATGCTTTGAGAAGTCATTTCCAGAAGCTTAGTCTTGTTTTATCTGGCCTAAAAAAGCAGTTTGGATGTGTGTCTGGGTCCAGTCTTCCTCTCCATGGTTCCGTGTGTTGAGTAGCTGGGTTACGGTAAACCCTGTTTCAGCTTTCCTACCAGGCTCCATGATTGTTACTGTGTTCCCTCCCCACACGGACCAGATGCTCCCTCCTCTCCGTTTTCCTATTATCATGTTAAATGACGACGTTTTGCTTTATGTCGTCCAGATCATTAGATAGAGACGTGGTTACAGTGTTCTTTTTAATAACGGCATGTTTTTGCGTGGCGCCCTGAGGCCGAACACCCACATGGCTCGTTGTTCAGTCCATATGCTTTGATACATGTTGTGTCTTGTCATGGCATTTTAAATTTTTTTTTTTTTATTGAGTGTGTCGTTTGAGTGGAGGGAAATTAATTTACTTGAGGATTGTGGTACTAGAAAAGGAAGCTTTTCTATCACCTATTAGTGATCAGTTTATATGAATATATAATTTCTGCATTCTGCATTCATGTCTGCCGGTTGCAGAAGGTGATGAGCTGGTACCAAAAGTTCCCTTCTGGACTCAGAATAAAGCGCAGACCTTATCGGCTCGACTCGGCTCTTTGTTATCATCAGTCGGAAGCCGGATGGATGCTGCCAGGATTATCACACAGCTACACCGAACCAGAGGAGCTCGCAGCGCTTTGATAAGAGTTTTCAGCACTCGGCCGGGTCTCGGTGGAAAACTTTTATTGGTTGACATTTGGCAGAGCAACCCATCATCGGAAAACAGCAGAGGCTGAGCAAATAGGAGTGGAGCAAAGCAACGTGTCTTTGGTGTGATAGAGCAGCTCTGAGGCCAAATAGGAGGATCTGAGACCCAGAAAGTTTACATGAAGCCGGAGTAATTGATCTAAACTTTTCCCGTTTCTCTCTCTCTCTCTCTCTTTCTCTGTGTTTGTGTCTGCAGGCTGTGGAAACAAATTTGGCCTCCAAGGACAGTCACTGGGTGTTTGTAAATGAGGTAAGACGCCGCGATGTTAAATCCATGAGACAAAATTTCCCTCCAACTCACGACGGAGAAGGCAGCCTTAGTGTTTCGTCATGTTGTGAAGAAGGAATGTCAAAAGTCTGGTCAAAGGACCAGACTTGCCCCAGATCTGGTTTTGTGATGACTGCAATTCAGTTTAAATTGTCACTGACAAGTTAAAATCTTGCAAAAATGGAAAATATAGGGCATGACACAATATATCATCTTATAATAATTATGCTACTTTCTGTCTCTTTAATTTCCCTGAATGAGCAGCGTATCCTACACTGGTGGACCCATGATTACTTTTTTAAACTTTATACACTGCGTCTTCTAATAGGAATAAAACTTTACCAGCCAGTCAGGGTGTGATGGATGTTGATGGGACTTTGTGTTTTTCAACTTCCCTGTGTTTTCCTGCTTCAACATATAGAAAACAAACGAAGGAGCCATAATCAGGCCACTTGAAACGCTGATCGCACAACGAACGACTAATTAAGCCTTTGTGTTCAAGTGTTTTCAAGCAGGAACACATAAAAAAAAATGCAGGACTGAAGAGTGACACTCCTGCCTTAAATGAAGCTCATTGTTTGGTGTTATGGATGCAAGATCATCTTTAATGTTTAAACCTTTCCCAAACTTTGCTTTTCAAATCTCCAAAGCTTTGCTCAAAGCCAGGAAGCTATTTATCTGTGCCTCATCAACCGATCAAGCCGACTAACTGGACTGTTGACAATGTAATTCAAGCCTAAGCAAACATACCAAGAAAATAAATAAAAATGAACTCACAGCTTCGTAACAACGTTATACTCTTAATACTATATTCATTCTTTTGTGCATTAACTCCTTCTGAAAAAAACTCCAAATGAACCGAATGCCACGTCGAAATCTTCTTTATTAGCTCCTTGCTTTTTATTTCCAGCTTATTTTTAAATCGAAATGAATTATCTCTCTTAATATCCTGTGAATCTATATCCCACACACACACATTGCAGGTATCCCTCTCGTCAGATAAATGTTTGTTTTCTCTACATTTTGGTTTGAAATTATTTTACCACATTTTAATTTCCTTACAACTCCTGTTTATTTTACTGCTAACTAGTTTTAGTAACCACAGCAGTGTGTCAAAAACCTTTTAGCTGTCTCTGGAGTCGACGTTCTTGTTCAGTCGACTGTGGTGAGAGAGCGGTATCTTCGTTCTAGTGACGGCCCGTTTACCTCCAGCCATGTTTAGGCCTGGATCTGTCCTTTTGCTCTGAAGCAGGCAACTTCTGTATGTCTCTTAATTAAAGGGCAGCTTCTTGCTTCTCCTCTCAGTCGCCACGAGTGTCACCGGAGCAAGCTGCCTCAGCTTGCTCTCCTGATTTGCTGTCACCTACAGATGGTGTCTGGATTTATCTCCTCTGTGTGTCCTCTGCTCTGACAGAGCTACCAAACACAAGATCTCTCTGTTTTTTTAATTTTTTATTTTTTTATCAGTGTTGTGTCTTTAATACAAGCTAATGGATGTTAAAAAATAAATAAAAAAATAGGGTTGATGTTATAGTGATGTAAGTGTTAATGGAACGGTTCTTAATTCTTTCTTATTCACTTTACGATCTAAGAGCTTCACCTCTTGTTTTGTTTTTTTTTCAACTATAAAATCCCACAAGCCTTTACTTTTCTTTATTTTCTGTAACAGATTCATGTGGGCAAAGTCTTTTATTTTTGTATTGAGGATGTTCTTTGCCAATATTCTCAAGATAATTGGGATGAAAAAGGAAATAATCAGACAAGCAAAAATCACTACAACTTATGCCAAATTTTACTGAACACAATAAAAGAACGAGTAAAAGTAAGTGACATCCTTACAAAAATGACAAAAAAAATATACTGTGCATTAAGGACAAAATTACAGCAAATGTGAATTTTTTGTTAAACTGCAACACATTCCTGAACGGTCATGACAATTTGGAACAAAACAACTTTGTCAACTAAAGAATATCGATTGATAGTGAAGGGTTGCCATCACTATTGAGATCGATTACAGTGACCAGCCTCAGCAGTTCTACTATAAACAAATCAACTCACAAAGACATGCATAAAGAGAAGATGAAAGACCAAAACACTGACAAAAATGAAATAAACATTTACCAAAACTGAGGGAAAGTAGCAGGTTTGGGGTAGGAAAGACAAAGGAGTGAAGATCTCTGCAGGGTCACAGTGAAAACACATGGATGGCTCTGAGTGTGTGAAGCAGCAGCTGTCGCGTTTTATCTGGGAACAGCCAAAAATCTACACAATTACTTTGATGAGCTCACTGACACTGCTCAGATGCTGAGTTCAGAAAACAAAAGAACTGTTTCTCTCAAGTCTGGGAATTTGGAACAAAGTAGGAAGAGACACAAAATGAGAGACAGAAAACACTTAGCACAGAAATATAAATAAAATACATCCATTCAACTCAACTAATCTGAAGAAAATTATCTGAAAGAAAGAGAAGAAAGAAAATAAAGGTGACTAGAGGCTGAACACATCTATCTATATATAGATATCTATCTATAGATGTATCTATATGTATAGATATTTCTATATATATATAAATTTGTACCCCAAACCATAATCTCTTTAGCTACAAGTGTTCAAAAAGTAATTTTTTTACTTTCTTTTTTAATCTTTTTTTTTTTTCGTGTTTTTTCTTTCATGGCTCATTACACGGGGAACCTATCGGAAACGGGCGGCGTTAATGAGAGCCGAAATGAAATAACTGTAAATGACACCGGGTGCTTCTCTTTGAAATGTAAATCCAATTCTTTGTGAACAAAAAGCACCTTGCAGGTTACATCACAGCTGCTCCAGTTGCAGCCGTTAACATCGTCACCCGTATTGACAAGTGAATCCATCAGAGCCACTGTGCTCTGTCTGGGATTTTCGTCTTTATCCCTTTTCATTTTTCTCTTCTCTGTCCTACCGTCAGTAGAAACACAAGCAGCGGGTAATTGTTGGTCTGTAGGTGGTGAGACTTGGAGGGCTCCTTTGATCCACAATAAAGTAAAAAGAAAAAAAAAAACTAAATGAGTGCTAATGATTATAAATAAAAAAAAAACATTTAAATGAACTGAAATGATTTTTGTTGGGTTTAGGAATCAAAACCGTAATTCTGCTCTGCCCCCCCCAAAAAAAAAAAAAGTTTTATAAAGTGAAAATATATATATAAAAAAAACACACACTTTGTGAATTTATTTAAAGATAAAACATTCCAGTTTAGGAATATATAAAATAATCTAATTGCTGACTTTTGAGAAAGGTCCAACCAAGCACTGAATTTACAAATCAATAACCTTTGGATAGAAAATCTTCATACAAAACAGCGTTTGCTTTGTTTTTGACATGTAACATTGTTTAATGTGCTGCTCTTGGTGAAATTAACCTGAATTGAAATGACTTATGCCTATTTTCAGTTCAATAAGTTTATCTACATTGTGTCAAATCACAATAAATCTAATCACACCCACGGATTTGAAGGCACTTTTATACATTTCTATTTGATGCTAGTTAAAAAACAAAAAAGTAATGAACTGCAGTGTAATTCTGAGACTGAGAAATCAGTTTTCTATCAAAGGAAAGCCAACTGATTACTCAGATATTAACGTTTAATATTACCTACTTCCTGGAAACGGCGTCGCTCTGAAAAATGACTGCCCTCCAAAACCCCTCAACTGATTCTTTCCACGACTCCTGATTAGTCGTCCATTCAGGCCACCTGCCTGTGCCTGAATGGAGGTGGTTTATCATTTAATGTTTCATTACATGCAGTTTAGTCTCTATTTTGGTGATTGTTTAAAAAAGTAAAATGAAATCTCACTTGGCTAATGATAAAATCCAGCTGATGCTAGAAATATGAAGTAACTTATTCCAGGCAAGTGAAATTGGATCGTAATCAAAAAAGTTATATTAGATTTTCATGTGAATAATTAAGAAATAAATTTAAATTAATATGAGTAAGTTGTTTGTTTTTAACAACTCTGTATTTGAGCACTTTGGTCTCTGAAATTTACTGTTCTGTTTGCAGAAGTTGAAACAAAAATCAAATTTTTACCACTTCCTTCTAAAGTTGCTTTATTTCACGGCTGGTCTCAAAAAAAAGAAAAAAAAAAAAGAAAAAACAACATGATTGCCAAAGAACTTTTAACAGCAAAGTGAAGAAATATGCTGATGACCACGGGGTCTTCTTCTGGTCACAGAAACTCTTTGGTACTTAAGACAAAACCGCTATTAAAAAAGTAGTTTCCAGCACAGATAATTATTGTCTATCCTTTAAAATCATTTCAAATAGTAGGTTCACGCTGCGATTTTAATGTGAAGCAGCTGCCACTTGTTGTGTGGATGGAATAAATTATATGTCAGTAGCGTCTTGTATCTCGGTTGCTTTTACGGCTCAAGAATTATGACATTTAAAACCTTTTTTTTTTTTTTTGCTAGACGAAACTCTTTTTTTTCCAGTCAATGAAAAAAAGAAACTAAATGTAAACTTCTGTTTACAGCTTCATGTTTAATTGGATGAGGATGACATAAGGAGAAACCGAACAGAGTGGGTTTACTTTACTTCGAATGGTGACTATCTATAATTACACCTCCGAGAAAATAATTGGTTTTCTCCTTGTCGTAGCAGTTAAACATGTACACGAGTATAGAAAGCTCTTTAATAGACAGTGTTGTGCTTTAAAACTGGCTTCTTACTCGTATTAATTAATGTGACATAGTCTTATAGAGGAAAGGAGACTTACTGCAAAACATTTGTTCTGCCTTTCGTTTCTTCCTTTTGCTTGCATGACCGCAGGAAATCAGCGACACGGAGATCCTGGAGCTCACCCACAGTGCACTGGGGCGCATGACTGTGATCCGACAGATTTTCCCCCTCTGGAAGGACAGCAGCACCCGGTGCATGAGGCAGAACCACCGGATCTCGTCGCTGCTGTGCGACCCACAGGAAGGATACCTGCAGAACCTGGAGGTAAAAACAAAAACACTTCTCTGTGTCTGGCTGTCAGGTTTTAGTTTGCAACTGACACCTGTTAGCATGGTGATGTGTCCAACTCTCCACCTCTGCCGTAGTTTGAGTTGCACTTTGAGTTGGGAAACATGCAGCACTGAGTGAAGAAAAAGGCTGGTTTTACACCACATCTGTCAGCTTCTGGTTACTGGAAAGACTTGACTCATAAACAGCGTGAACAACATTTGTGTGTGTGTTGTGTTTGTTGAGACAAAGTAAAAAAACAACAACAAAATAATTAAAATAATTGCTATCAAGGCACAGAATTGTCGTTTTGACTAACATTCCATCTGCACTTTATGATATCAATTAGATGATATAAACCTCCAAATGCTCTCCCAGTAGATTCGCACCTTACATTTTTGGCTCAGATTGATTCTGTGATGATGCAGGTTGCACACATTTAAATATGCCCCAAACGTATGTATATTTATGCCAGAGCCTGACCAAAAAGCATTGGGCTTTCAAAAGGCTCGCGCTGTGAATTATTCACCTTAATTTGAAAGCAGGTGATCATTTTGATGCATAGGAAATGGGACTGAAAGGGATTCGCTGCACTGATGGCTGGAGATTTCACTGTGTGTTCTCCTGATATAAATGCTAATCAGTGCATTGAATGCATGAAGCCATCTGACAGAATTTTAACTTCAATTCATTTTTTTATTATTATTATTATCATTTTTGACAGAAATAATTAAATAGGAACCTCACTTCACTGTCATTTGCAATCTGCAGCTTTGGATTTTTTCCCCCCACATGTTTTACCATCTGTGTCTGCTGCAGTTTTTCATTTGCGATTAGATAACTTTCCGGTATGAATATTCTTGTGGGCCATAGTTAAGTCGACGTTCAGAAGTTTAATGTTCAGATATAAAACAAACTTTCTCGAAAGTTCCACAAGAAGGTGCCGGTAAATCAGATAATATTTATCAGTAAATAGTTTGGGGGTTTTTTTCTCGTGGTTTTGAATAATTTATTTTTTATTTCTGTTTATATCAAATGAAACCTTCACATTTTTCTCCTTCAACTTTTTGTGTGCTTGAAATTCTTCATTTATCCCGAATAATTGCCGCCCTTGTATGTACCGATTATTCTTTCTAATTAGTATCCTCATTCTTCTTTCTCCTGAAGGAGAAAGAAGGAAAGAAAGACAGACAGACAGGCGTTTGAAAAGGGTTGAAAACACAGGCCTGACCTCCACGGCTAAACATAAAAATGCTAATTCTGTACATCACTTCTGAATCAATTTTAGTCATTCCCAGCCACAAAAGCACAAAAGGTTAATTTTCAAGAACAGAAAGAGTAATTAGAGGGTTTGCTTTGTTTAATGAAGGGCAAAGAAAGACGTAATAAGCAGCCAAATTCATAAAATGATGGTGGGATTTAATCAGTTTAGAGAGAGAGCTCCCTCTAAAATGAAGGAATAAAGCTATCATAATCTTTAGTGGTCCTCTTAAGGCAGAGTCAGAACGTGCCCATCTCAGTTTTTATTTGTGTGAAAATGTTCCCTCTACGTCAGTCATTTTATTTCAGGTTGGATGTGAAACATTATGTTGTTTTAATCAGAGGTAGTCAAGTTGTGCATTCCCAAATTTCTGCTTGGATCGTGAACAGAAGGAACATAAGTGACTCTAGAATACCAAACTCCACACACTACAGCCCGTTTTAACATGGTGACGATGACTCACCAGACACTTTATAATGTTACCTGTACAAATGCTTGCTTGCAACAATAGTGGATCAGCCAATCATAGGGACAGAAGCGGTACTAGCCTGTATAGAGACCTAAGCGAACGACATTCAGATCATTTTTGTATTCCACGCCATAACTTATGTATCAATGATTATTTTGCATTCTTATTCAGTGTGAAAGGTCTGACACAGAGGCCTATTTCTTGTTTCTTCTCTTGAAAATGACAGCACTTTATGCTCTTGGCATAAAGTGTCCCATATTCATAGTCAAGGCAACAATTTAAAAATGTGCATCTATTGAAATAAAGATAGCCTTTTAGTTTGCCACAAAGTTAAGTGATGTTGATAGTAATTGTGTGCAAAAAAGTTCCCCTAAAGCCAACTGCATAAAAAGTGGCAACAATAAGACTTTCTTGAAACATTTGCAGTCCTACCATTACAAATGTAAATGTGTGGATTGTGATGAGAAGTACTGGGACTTTAACTGGAACTCACTATTTTGGCACAAATGAGTCTTTAAGTTGAGCTTTGGAGTGAATAGGAAATATATGAAAAAACACTTCATCTACTGCAAAAATTGGATCATAATGTGTCTGAGGAGGATGAGGAGGATTAAAAATATGCTTTCCAAATCAACAAAGAAACTGTTAATCCTTACACAAAACTGACTTTTCAGTGTCAGAAAAGACCTAGTGGAGTTTACTGATTTGTACATTTTTCTTCTTTGTTTTTCTCAATTATAGTTTTTTTTTTTACTGATCAGATCTTAAACAAAAACAAAACCAGAGGATTTTAATTACTTTGTAATCATTCATTATTAAGTAGTTAGCTTAACAGCCAGAGAAAGAAACTAAAGGACAAAATCTATCAACCTGCTTTTGAATGATATTTCTTGGGTGCAGGTATATTTAATGTTATTTATGAATGTATTGGTTAAAAAAAAAAAGAAAAAGAAAAGAAAAAAAATCACCGTAAGAAAGTAAGATCTCCAGCAGTTTCATTTTGGGTTTTTTTTTTTTTGTGGTGAAGAACTACCTCTTGCTCGCTCGCCGTCTCGGTTTTAGTGTTTGCCGTCATGTTCTGATGTAATCTGTCAGCCCGCCTTACCAGAGACAAATTCAAATTGGTCTCATTCCAGAAAGTTTGGTCGCATCTCATCTTCAGGCACAATCTTCCTCCCACTCACACTGAGTGTTATTTCCACTTGTGAAATCTCTGCGGTGATGTGAGGCTGACATTTAAAGACAACAAACAGAACAATTACTGTAATGAACACTGACAAATGCTGGCTTTTTCCCCGTCATGTTTTGACATTTGCTGGAGACGAGTTCAGTTTTTCTTCTTCTTTTTTTTCTCGCCACGTCGAGTGTTGAGCACCAATGTCATTCTCCTTTTCATTTTTTTTGTTCTTCATTCAGAGTCTTGTCTCCTCTATTCCTCTGGAACTGCTCAGCTGGTTATTTTTCCCCTGTGCCTCGTCTCCTTTCCCGTCTTCATCCTTCACTGTCTCCTCTGGCCGTTCGAGATGACCTGAGAATATTTGCCTCTTCTTTCATTTCTCACCTTCCATCATTCCCCTCGTCCTCTGCTCACTCTCTCCGTCCTCACCTCAAACGTTCGGCAAGAAGCAAGATGAGGACATTTGTTGCAGTCGTTTGCGCAAAACAGCTTCAAATGTCTGTGAGAATTAACGGTGAAAAAATTGAAAATCTTTGACAAAAAAAAGGCTGAATTTATGTGGAAATGTATATATTTTTAAAACCAATGTTCTATCTTCCTTCCCCTTCCGTCCCCTTCCATGGCAAGACAAATTTTACATGGCCTTTGTCATGTAAAATTTCATCCTTAGTCTCTCCATGACCAATGGACACAGAAAGGAGATGTGTGTGTGTGCGTGTGTGTGTGTGTGTGTGTGTGTGTGTGTATGCGTGTGTGTGTGTGTGTAAGGCAGAAGCGTGCAGCGTGGCCTTCATACCAGTCAGCTCTCCTTATCTGGACAGAGTGATGCTCATTTGTCATCCTGCATTTGGTCTCTCCTTCCTGTCTGCATGTGTGTGTGTGTGTGTGTGTGTGTGTGGGTGTGTGTGTGTGTGTGTCACAGTGTGTTTCCTGGGTGCTTGGTCAGGGTGACATGTGGACAGGCTGGCTGCTAGCTGACTGTCGTCTCAACACCATCCAGCTCGTCTGTGCACTCGGGTGCCAGCAGCGCTCTTGGTGGTGTTAGATTTGTGCTGGCAGATGATGCAGTTCCACAGATGTGTCACACATGTGGTCAGTGTGTTGGTTGGCATGGAGAGCTTCTATATTTATTTATTTTTCCACATTTGAAGGGATGGTTCGCTTGGAATTGTGACGTTAGGCTTCCCATTGTAATTATCAGCGGTCAGTATCTTACTAGCCACGAGAGTTTATGTATCTATTAACCCATCTGTGATTTTCCAATTCCCCTTAGATTCTTGTTCATTTCGGTAACCAGTGGTCAATCATCAACTTAAGTGGACCACTCAACCCAAATCATCATTTTGCAAATTATTTTATTGATTTCTCTCATGAATGGCTCATTTTGGCCTTGTTGTCACCGAGTTGCAAATGATACAGTTCTGTTATTGTGATTGTATTTATTTTTTAAATTGTCGCACTTTTATGCCTTTTGGGGAGTTCGTGTCATCTTTTAAATGCGGGTTTTAGTGTTGCATAAGCTTTATTGGCAGCATAGCGACATCTCTGACTGCTTATATGAGCCAAAAATCTAATTTTTCAATTTTAGCCAGCAGCATTTCACCATGCAGTTTGTCGCTACTGGTTTCTTTGGCCGACTCAACTCTATAGAAATTCACAAAAATCTCTTCCAATATAGCTCAAGTGACCATATGATCACAAAGTCACTTCTGGGAAAGATCACCCATGGAGGTCCACACTGATGACAGTTACCATTTCATATCATACATCTTTTCCCATCAATCTCACAAAACGCCTTCATGCCAAGCTTTGTCACAGCTTATCCTCTTGTCCTTGACCTCCTTTGACCTTTTCCTCTGAAATCTGTCCAACCAGGTCTCCAACCTCTACCTGTACGACAGCGTGCTGATGCTGGCCAACGCTTTCTACAGGAAACTGGAGGACAGGAAGTGGCACAGCATGGCGAGCCTAAACTGCATCAGAAAGTCGACCAAGCCATGGAACGGTGGCTGGTCGATGCTGGAGACCATTCAGAAGGTAAAGCACGATGCCTGACCTTCATCATTTAGTTTCATTCAGTTCCCCGATTTCCTTCAATTGTTTCACGGTTCAAGGGTGTGATAAGAGTTGTGCATTGTTGCATTCATTTTTAAAAATTCTTTTTCTTTTTTTTAGGGGGGTGGGTACATGCATGTCAGGAAGAAGAACTCTAATATATGCATTTCTGACTGTTTTTTTTTTTTTTTTTGGATATTGTGTAAGTTAGACCATCAATCAGCATTTATTTTGTCTGTATTTCGAAATATGTTTTAAATGAGCTGAATCGTCATAAGAATTTGAGCTTTGGTTTCTGCAAACAGAAATGTGTTTGTAAATTTAGTCACATTAAAATGTATTGTGTGGGTAGACTGCAAAACAGCAACTGACATTAACCAGAAAAACTGCTAATTACAGGAAACAAGACAGTAGTAATTAGAACTGTCTTGTGGTAATTGCTACAAGACAGTAAATACCTCTATCACCTAAAAATCATATTTTGCTTTAATAAGACAATTTAATTACAATGCTTAATTACATATGCTAATTTGTACAGAAACTTGTGATTTCACAAGAAATCACAGATGTGATTCAGCCTCATTTGAAATAGGAGAGTTTGTATTTTTAATTTTTTTTTCTGGTCTAATTTTATTTAAAATAACCATGAAGATTTGTCCATCACATGTGGAGATAACAAGATGCAGAATAAATCACCTCCAGCTAACAGAACCTGAAGTGTAAACATGACACAGACGTGAAATCTGATGCGTCTCGTAATTCCAGCCAGACTTTCGTTCTGATGCTCTAATTGGTAAAAGAAGCTTGTCAGCTGTGCTGATCAGTCCCTCAGAGCAAAATGTGGTGCTTGTTATTAAAAAGAAAAAAACAAACAAAAAAAAAAACAGCAATCTGGGTCTTTGACATGTATCAAAGTAACAACCACAGAGCTCATTAGGGTCATTCCTGTTTTTCTACAACACTCATGTAGGTAACACTGAGACGATTTCATGACGCAGTTAAACATAAAATATAATTCGATATCGACGAAAGACATAAACCCGCAGTTAATGAAGAAGATCTTCACTGAGCCTGATTTTATGCAGACCTGATTTTTTTTTTTGTTGTTGTATGTTATTTTTGATGCAGCTGCTCATTGCAAATACTGATAGCATCGCTGAATTATTGGTGCATTCAATTGACTCAAATTTTCAGTATTTGTTTTGATTCCTTATGAAATAATGAAGATACACAACCTCCATTTTAGTCCTGGTACACACTCCAAGTGTGGCCTTTTCTTAGCTTCCAAGAGAAATCTTAAATTCCTGCAAAAAAAAAAAAAAAAAAAAAAACAATGATTGAAGGTTGAGAGGTTTAACTGTTAAGGAAATAATGTCGGAAACTAAATTGCTTGTTTTTAGTGGAACTTGATCCTGATTATATATTAGAGTTCATCAACATTTCAGCCTTTTTAGAGCAGTCTTTAAAAAGGTTGTGATCTTACACCCTTTTAAAATCTCTCTTGGCCTACGTAGTGTGAAGGCCCTAAAATGTTACAACTTAACCAGAAACCACTTCAAAAAGCAAATAATTTCATCTATGAATCTAAGAGATGAATTTCAATCAGTACAAAGTTGCTGCTGGTGCAGCTCTACGTATTTAATATTCCAAAGAAAATCGTTTGAGCTTCGCCTTTCGATTGGGGGAGATTTATTCTGATTTTTAATGAGGATATTCTTTCCTAAATTACTGTGCTCTTGGCGAATTGTCTGAAAATTGTGTTTCTACTAGAGGTTTTACTCTTGTGTCCTACTCAAATTTTGCTCAGACTTTCCATCTCACTTCTTTGCTGACAGAGGACAAAATGAATTGTGTCACATAATGTTACATTTAGCTGAAGAAATGTTTATGAAAGTGATGGAGGAACAGACGGAGGATGGCGGGCCTTAGAGTTGAGCTTTTTACAGAAAGCCCTTCTGAAGCCCAGACATTTTAACCATACAGTCTCTCCTGGCTACACCCCAATTGACCTTTACGCCTAACGTTGGGCCATTTAGTCTGCTGCTTGTTGTGATGACTGTCTTCAGTCTTACTTAACAGGCAACAGGAGCTACCGTAGGTCATGGATCGACATTTTACCCACAGCCTTTCTGTAGAACAGACATGAACTGAACAAGTTTACCAACCTCTTATGATAGTTTTCATGGCGTCTTCTATCACTGCAAAAACTCTTCAGAAAGACCAAAGAGGAGTACAGGAAACAGCTGGCTCATCTTTAACTTATGAAGCAAACCTGTACAATTTTGAACCAAATATTTACATACGCTGTATAAAAAAAACACCTTATTTTCACTGCAGCTTAATTGAAAACATAAATTAAGCTGCTGCTGTATTTTAAGGCAACTTCTTTCCTGACTGGTTGTGACATTATTAAGGAAGAGAATTGTGCTGTTTATCCCTGGGCGGCATTTTCAGATGCCTGAAGGTGCCGTCTTCATCGGATTCAAAAAACTACACATGCAGGAGCAGAATGGGAATATTAAGTCATCATGGCTGTAAGGAAGGAAACTTGATCTATGCCCAGAAGAAAAGTCTCATGATGTCAACCCCAGACAAAAAGCAGATGATTGCAATGCAAGATGTCAAGGCTTTAGCCAAGAAGTTAAAGTTTCGCATAGATGGATCTTGCAAACAGATATGGACCCCCAAATAAATGAATAAATGGGAAATTGTCCTGGTTTTGGACAGAGCTGGAGTTTAAATGTCAACAGTGTGAGAACTGATTTTTGGATGCAAGACAACCTGTCTCTTCTTGGAGAATTTATGCTTAGATTTAGCAAAGACTGGGGACCAAACACAATGAGTCACTGGATACACAATTAAGCAGGTTCAACGTCTTCCACTTGACCAGCAGGATCAACATGTTTTCTGCGAGGATGACTGTGTTACTGCAATTTCTGTGACTTCTGACAGAGTCCACCAATCTCATGAATTAGAGCCTGTGACTAACCTTAGACCAAAACTATTTAAAACAAGAGACTTAGCCACAAATAAACTACAACAGATGAGTCATATTATTAAATTACATTATTATTATTATTATTACAATGTTAAATGTTATTTTGAAATGCTAACAATCAACTTGATAATTATATTTTCATTTAATTTACTTTTTTTAATCCCAGATCATTTCCTTGGGAAAGCTCAATCAACAAGCAAGGTTTCTATGTTTGATTTGGTGATATGGTTAAATACTCCCGACCATTTTTCTCTCCCTGCTCCTCCGTCATTTCAGGGAAACATCACAGGTCTGACAGGAATCATGGACTTTAAGGAGAGCGGCTCAAACTCCCACGTTCAGTTTGAGATCCTCGGCTCCAGTTTCAGTGAGACGTTTGGCAAAGACATCAAAAGGGTAAGTTCACGTAAGGTTGAAATTGAACCTGAAAATGTCTTGTTGCACAGCCGTCGCTGCAGTCGTCTCGCCATGCGACATGGTTGGCCTGTTTTAGGAAACCTGTTCACAAACATCACGGTTCTCCAAATTCCTGTAGGTTGCATCGGCACAGAGCTTGTTCTGCCCAAAGGAGAGCTGCTGGCTGTTTGTGTTATCATTACAGTGAAACGTCATCTATCATTAAGCCTGTTGAGATGTAATGTAGTGTTGCATATAACACCCATCCAGGGATCACATGAGGATATGCACCTAGTGTTTCTGTTCTTTGAAGATTGAACATTTTATACTCAACCTTCTAAAGAGTCAATGAAGTAGATTACTGAAAACTTTTATTCCCTCAAACTACGATCACACTTGACTTTTCTGAGCTAAAATTCTGAAAAGGAGAGAATCGCAAAGAAGTGACTATCAACTTTTTGCGTATTGTTGTCTCAAATGTAAAGACTGTTAAGTCTCTGGATGTTTAAATGATTGATTCCATCTAGAAATCAGGAATTAATAACTCAAATGAATACTTTCAGTCTCCATCAAGGCTTGAATGCATCATGTTTAGTTTAATTTAATCAATAAAGTATTTCTGAATTTTGAAATACTTTTGTTCCACATGCCACCTAGTGAATGAATAAATGCAGATTATGATATTCCACTTTTTTAAAATAACAAATTGGAATTTATGGAAATCTATACACTTTATTAGTTGACTTACAATATATGAAGTTGCCATGAAGGTCTTCATGTATCTGAGAACTGGCACTTTAGTACATATACTAAAGTGGGTACCAGGTTACACAAAGCAGGATAATTTGGGATTTGAGATCATATGAAACTTTTTAACAAAATCAGCCTAGGGATAATTCATGCATTTTTAGAATTTAATTTTTAGAATTTTAATTTGTAGCAAATTTTTAAATAAGATCGTACTGTTTTAAGATCCAACAAGTGAGGACTGGTATTCCAGTTAACCTTTTTGTGGAAAGCAACCGATTCTTTGCAGCAACGGTTCTGCACAACATGCAACATCAGACCAGAACAATAAACATCCGCAGCTGCAGTGTGTCATTTTAAGACTCGTACACAATCCTGATATTTTTTTTCTCCCATGAATCTTAACCATTGGATCCCCATTAGTGTCTGGTGGGACCCACAGTTGTTGACTCACCCATAATTTATGCAGAAGTGAGCACAAACACTTGTCAGTTCATTAATTTTTCCAATCATTGAAAAAGTTGTTGAACCATGTTAAGGTAACCTTGATGAGAAGCGTTCACGTTCAGATCCATACACAGTCATCCATTGCCATCAAACCACTTAGTGCTTAACAGGACGAATGAGGTTTTAATTAACAATCAGAAGAGTTTTGTTTCATCCACCCTGTAAATACACAAAGATGCGATCTTTCCGTGGCTTGACTGATTTGCAAGAGCTGTGAAATATAATTGAACCCTGCAAGACATCGCTACATCTCCGAGCGTCACATTGACCGCCCAGTGATGTGCTTTACATGTCTGAGATAATAGAAACTTGATTATGTTGTGCAATAATGGAACTAATGATTAACTTCTGTCGCCCACAAAACCCACTAATTCAATCAGTCTCGTTTTCTCTGACGGCACAAAAGTTCTCACAGTGCTATTATGTACGGCACTGGAGGGCATATCAGTGCAGTGTTTTTAATTATGATATGCAAAGCTGCATCGTTTCAATCAGTTTGTAGAAGAATAATAAAAGAAAGCACAACCCTCAGCCAATGCTATGAACCAGTGTCCTTGCGTGATATTTAATCAGCTGTTTTAAATGTTCATAAAAAAAGAAAAATAAGAAAACATTTCAGTCATGATCCACTTATAGTCTAGGAACGATTTGTAAATGGGAAAATGGCAGGACATTTTTGTGATGATGTGCTGAAGACGAGAGTCGCAAACGGTGCCTTAAAGAGACGGAAGCTCAAATTCACAGCATCAAGTTAGAAAGTCAAATTTCTTTCAATCTATGTTTGATATATAAAGCATTTTCATATCAACTGAAGGTGACATAGTTGCTTTTGTGCCAGGAAAATACACAATACTGTCGTTTTTAAGGGAAGTACACCAAATGACCTAGAGGAAAAAGAATAGTAATATAACAACATATATATATATATATATATATATATATATATATATATATATATATATATATATATATATATATATATATATATACATACGCATAAATCACTGAAAAGAACTGAATAGGAAAGTAAAAATGGAGTTAAAGGAAAGAAAATCGGTAAAGAAAAAACGATAAAAAAAGGAATGTAAATAAAAAGGGCTGAGAGGAATGAGAGTGTTATGAAAGGAGAAGTCATATGTAAAGATTAAGCTGTAGGGTCATAAAATGAAGAATCAAAGTAAATAAGAATCTGAAAGTAAAATGAAAAATGAAGGAAAATTGTAAAAGTGCTATGTGAACAGTGCACCAACAATCACCAAGGCAAAGGGAAGAGGAGGTAAAATAAGAAAGAACAGGGTGGTAAAATGAACACAAACAAAATTAATGAAAATTAGTGATAGAAAGTACAGACATGGCAGCAGCAGATGACGCAAAAATAAACTGCAACACGGAAATGGGAGCTAGCAACAACAGAGAAAGATTAATTCCAATTGGAAGAGAGGAAATGAAGGAGAAAAAACCCCAAAAGCTGTAAAGGCAAAGCAGAACAAGAGTACATTCACAGAGAAAGATTTACACATTTTCATTTTTTTTCAAACAATAAAAACAATAAGTTTGCAGATGAATGTAGGACCAGGGACCACATGTATATGGGAATCTCTTTTTAACAGTTTTTTAAAAATATTTTTATTTATTAGCCTACATAAGACATTCACAGAAATGCTGTTGCCGTTTTGGCCGTGTGTCTAACAATTCGGATGATTTATCATCCTGCAGGAAGTGTATGTCAGCGTAGCACACACTCGCACACTGAGTTGCTGCTGCTGCTGCTGCAGTAATCAAGATTTAATCACCTGGCTTCTCTTTGAGTTATGACTCCCTCTGGGTTGCATAATGACCGTTATGAGAATGCAAGTCCGCTGCTGCACATGTGCACATGTATACAGTCATATCAAAACACTGACACACACTGTGCAGACCTCGTAGTCTGTATATATTTGAAAACAAATTTAACAAATAGATATTAAAACACAGCACATTTTGCATCAATTATGTGACATTCATTTGCATTCAGCTTTGGGAACTCGGATGGCTTCTGTGTCGTTTCTGTGGTTTTCAAAAATCCATTCTAGGCTCAAAACACGGCGTGTTGTGCGGGAACTTCTTAAGCACCTGCGCCCGGCTATCTCAGCTCGCAGCTGAACCCTCCTTTAATTTGTAGGCCACTTTAAACCAGATTAGCCGAACCTCATCCAAAAAGATGTCTCGCACATAAAGCCCCTAGTACCCCGCCCCCAGAGTGGATCAAATAGCTGCTAGGATTTAGCTTTTTATTTTGGTTTGACGACACAAGTTATGGCACTTGTGTCGTCAAGCGATACGACTTTAAAATCAAATGTTATTGACAAGGACCTCCATAAATGTTTTGGTAGCCTTGCTGCTCTGGAGCTTACAGGAGTTTTAACACCATGCCAAGGGTAAAAGCAACATACCTAAGAGGGGCAACTCCTGCTTCCAGTAGTCCATTTACAGGTTGACTGAAGTCTAACCTTCTACAGATGCAACGATTTAAGGTCTTCCCAGTCAATTTTATTTGTTGTATTGGTGTATTTATTTGGACTCCCAATAGCCACTGCTATGACAATGGCTACTCTTGTTGGGGCCCACGTCATACACCGCCATAGCAATAGTAACACAGATGCAACAAGTGAGGATTCCAGTTAACCGTAATTATATAATTCTGCCACTAATATGAATAAACAGGTAAATAAATAATAATAATAATAAATAAACAGGTTATTAAAACATTTAGTATGTTAGATACTACAATATTTCCAAGAAAACATAAAAAGGAAATTCCAACCTTTTCTCTAAACGAAGCCCAACCTGATGCTTTCTGCATATATATTTGTGAAACTCATTGCTTCCCTATTTTGAACTCATGGTAGTTTGCTTAGAAGGTGTAGCGTCATTAAATGAATGGGATTTGGCCTCTTTAACACACATAACATCTGTCACAGTAACCTTCACAGTGATGGAACAGATTGGACTTCAGCTTTGGATAGTTTAATAAAAACCTCTGAGTAGAACAAGACCCAATGTTCATATTGACCACAGCACCTTGGAGCGTTATCTGAGGGCCTCACATCACTGGTTTGGTTCAACTATAAAAAAGAAAAAAGTATCTGATTTGGATAGTTTTGTATTGTATTGCTTGTTATACTCACTTCGTGAGTTGTTTTGTGTCACTCATAAGCAGACATTGCAGATAAATAGTATAATTGCATTGAAACAGATGCCATGAATAAACACTATTCATTAATCAGGTCAATTACTACTGAAATTACAAACACTTGTTGCTGTTTTTCTTGGATAAAAAAAGACAATGTAAGGTGTTTCACTCTTAAACCCAAACGAGTGTCCTTCTCGTACGTCGGACGTTTTATATGAGTGAGCTATGCATCTCATCCGGCATCGTTACTTATGCTGCATCCAGAATGAGTCCGTTTGGTGGGAGAGAAGGATGACGGCGGTGAGAGTCGAGCTCAAACGGAAAAGTTTTATAGAGTTTGCGATGTTTTTTGTTTTGTTTTTTCTGGCCGGCAGTGAGTTATCAGCTGCTCGCTCTCATTATGTGCACACGCTCCATTCATTTTCCCCCTACAGTTTTCTTCTTATCCCAATCTCCATCTCCATCTTTGCGCGCCACTCTCGGCACTGCTCACCCCTCGTACAGCCATTCCTCAAAGCAAATTTTCCCTGTAGATGAAACGCCACTCCTCTCCCACCCGCCACACACACACACA